TGGAAACAGAGCTCCTACCAGGAGCCGCTGGACTGCTGCAGTCCCCCTGGAAGGTTGTGGTCTTCCTCGGGCAGGGCCACCCCAGCACGGCTGCAAGCCCACAAGCTGCACTCCCTCTCCACTGCAGGCAGCTGAATGGAGCCACGGCTGCAAGCAGGAATACTGCCATGTTTTCACATGCTTTAAGACTTAGTTCAGGCAGAACTATTAAATCTCCAGAATTTCATGCCTATATTCAGAAAAATTACAAATGTTAAATTGTTTGGCAGCCTCTTTTATTAGCCTTGTCTCTTTTCTAACAACGTGCTAGATGCTTACAACCTTTGAAGTGGTTCATCTGCAAGAGCTTGTGTTCCGTGATGCTTCTTGTAGTCAGGCTAATAGGCTAGTTAAAGTAAAAGGTATCTTGAATGAAGTAGAAATAGCCGTCTCCTCTAGAGGATAGTTAAATCCTTGCAGTGGTGTGGTGATTGCACACTATGCAAGAACTGGAAGAAGTTCAGGAAAGTTCTATGGCAGCAATCTCCTTCTGAGGTCAGAGATGCTAGCAAGTAAAGGGGGTGAGTGTCATAAGTGTAGGCTTTACAGAATAGCTTAGGAGAACTCCTGAACCCCATGCTTTCCAAATGCTGGTGTTTCACTTCAACATTATTACAGTTTTTCCTAAAGGATAAAATACTAAACACTTCAGTCTATTATGATCATTACATGATCCACTTCAGAAGCACCTTCTGGTTTCTCATAGCTTTGCTTGATATTTGCAGCAACTCTGTTAGGCACGTACTGCACTTTTCCTATCAGCCCTAGAGCTGAAAGGGAAAACTGAAATGCTACTGATTCAGAGGATGAAGATACATTGCAAAGTTAGTGCACCTAGGTACGCCTCCAAAGAGAAACGCTGAATAAAAATCCACCTTGATGTGCTCTTGAATTGCAAAAGCCTTCTAATGCAGCCTGTGCCCATGATTTATAACAATGACTCATAATATTGCATTATACTTAATATGAAGTAACGCTGATGCAAGATGCCATTCGTGGAATTTCAATGTCACAGAGAAAAAGAGAGGAGAGAGCAGTCTGGTCATGTACCTTGCCATGCTGTCAAAATGAAAAGTTTACAGCCAAAATATGTAGAACCTTTCAGTACCTACTTTGCTATTTTTTAGCAGGATAACTTGGAGAATAACATTTTTATTTCCTGAAGCATAAGTATCTCTCAGACATACGTTATTGTGTTACTTACGGTAATTTAATTAACTTTGTACTTGAGAAGACAAATTTGCTAACAGACAATTTAGTCTTGCAATTATAACCCCTCACATGGAAGTTTGCAGGGCAAATCAGGATTATGCCTTTAAATTAATTCAAGCTTTATCTCTCTTTTCTGACCCAGCTGTTACGAATTCTCCTCCTGTTCTCCCTGTACTGCTTGCTTCTTCCTGCAGTGAATCAGCATTTCAGGAAATACTAATTCAAAGAGGAAAGACACCCTAAACTCTGTTTCTGGAGGTCAGAAATAGCTGCTCTCCAATAGGTTTGACAAATGATGAGAGGCTTCTCGGGCTGCTTGGGGCCAGTTTTGTAGGGTGTATGCGACCCCTGTTTTGAACTCTGCCCCTTCCCCTCCAAGTAGCCTGGGAACTTTGAAGTTGTGCCTATGTGCTACAGAACTCAGTCCTGGTGGTTTGACGTCAAGACAGAGAGACAAACAGAGAGTTAGAGCCCTGTCTTTTAACGGTAAGGAAGACTGTTACTCGCTCCACCCCAGCAGTGGAGGCATCATGGGTGCTCATTCTGCAGGAACCGTTGGCATCGCTGGCATTAGTTTGCAGTGGGGGAGCAACTGGAAATAGAGACATTTCACACACACTGATCTCAGGTGGGATGCGCCACATCATGGGTGTGCACATGGGTATTTTTCAAAATTGCACTAGCAAGGCTGTTCAGGAAAAGGACTAGCAGCATGGATGTTCTCCACCTATGACCTCTAAAATCATCCGCATTTGACACAATCAATTTTTATTTGCTTCTAGAAAGAGCTGACAGATGCTCATACTATTGCTCTGACAGAGTCCTGTAGTCAGTAGGTTCAGAGAGGCTGTTGTTGGCGTCGCAGGCAGCAGAGAGACATCTGCCTAGGTAAAACAAGACCATGAGAAGGTGGAAAGTCTTGAAATGAGATCTCCAAAAAGTCTGGATCAGGCTTTTCCTTGTGGTCCTCTGTTGGTTTATACCATGCAGTCCTACTTATGCCGAGTTTTCCTGGTAAGCCCAGCAGGCCTGCCTACTGCAGTGTAGTCTGTCATCTCTGGCTCGCCAAGATGGAACAGATTAATTTACTAGTGATTCTTAAGAAGACAACTATATAATAATATATGTATGATTTACTAGAGTGCATCCTGAATCACCTGCAGCTGATGTCATCCTAAAGAAGGACTTTTTCACAGGTCATTCGTGAGCGCCTGGGGGAGTGGGGCACAGCACACAGTGCAGTTTCGCATTGCAAGACCGGAGAAGTAGAGGGGACTGACTTTTGAACAGCATAGCGGTGCCTACAGGTGAAGATAAATCAATAAGAATTGAATATCTATTTTATTTTTGGAAGCCCAGTAGGTGCCAGTCTGTCTCCTAGATGCATAAATATCATCAAAAACCTAGCCACGGGTGAGTAAAACTAGACAAGAATCTGTAGCCCAGAGGAAAGCCACCAAGAATAGATTGTGTGGAGGCTGATAAGATCCATATTGCTCCAAAAGGGAAAGTACCACCTCAAAACAAGACAGTTTTTGTTGTGAAAGGGTTAGGTTGTGAGAGACCTAGCTTGCCAAATACCCGTAATGGCCTCCCTCTGCCAATTGTCTTTAAATACTGTGATCTTTCACATAAGAGCAAAGCCTGAAAGGAATCTCTCTAGCAAAAACATCATTTATTCATTCTCTACAGGATGGTGGAGTAACATACCTCTTCTCAGTCATGTTACTCTTTCCTTCCCCTGAAGATTTCAGAGATTTGTTCGAACAAAGATCAGTAATTTTGTAAGGGATGCAGGAAGAAGCGTAGAAATATCTCTAGATCAGAACAGTTCCTGAGCCTGCTGGAGAAATGGCAGATCGCCAGAGATAGGACGCACCACTGTTCTTCCAGATAACAATGCGTAGAGCTGAATCTTCCAGGCATAATCTTTTAGGACAGCAAATTGTGCACATATAGGTGAGAAACACAAGGAGCTCATGTCCTCAAGGGGAGGCTGCTGAATGCTTTGCCCTCCCACAGGTCGGCTCCAGGACTAATATCCCTCCTCCTCTACCCTAGGTCCACACCCGGGTGATAACGATCCAAGAAATGCAACTCCTTTTTTTGTCTATATCTTTGAGCTTTGTAATTGAAACAATTTTCTAAGACAGTAGCCAGTTCCATCTATGTTTGCAGTCCTCTATAGGCTGGTGTGTTGTTTCTTGGGAATCTTTTACTGCCAGCACCTATCAAATAAAAGCAGACCTTTCAGGGAAGTAGCTTTCCCACAAAGGTGAAACTCTTCTGCTATTTTTTATTTCAGTGGATTTGTGCTTGTATAGCAGAGCAGACTGTGGGCCTTGGTGTTTTACCAGGCTTTTCAGTATGTGCCTTCGTGCTACCAGAAGCCAAGTACTAAAGATACTGAATCTCAGATCATTTGATTAGCAAATATTAATGGTTAGTCCTTGAGTTATTCTCAGAATTCAGTGTCAATTTTGCTAGTGTTTTGAAGTACCATGTTTGCACTAAAGAGCCAGACACGGGCATTTGGGATACAAGGCAGAGTAAAAAACATAATCTGACCTATAAAACTACTACAGTAGCATTAAATAAAAGAAAAGTTAGGCTTTTGTTTGGGGTGGAAATGGCTTTTCTTCAATGCCATCTGCTTGGCTCCAGCATAAGTGGAGATGTCTCAGACCCTACAGGTAATAATCACAACAAAAATAGTATCCACAAATTAACTGCTGTTCCTAACTTCCTTCTCCCATTTGCTTCTAAGTCACGCTAATATAATGCTAAAATCAGTACTGATGCACAGGAGTGCAAACAGTGAAGAAAGTAAGATAGAGAGCTAAGACAGCAAGAGGATTTACATTCATTCTGTAAGATGTGATCAGCAAAACGGTAACGCATGGAAAGCAGCACTGGACTGTACCTGCACACAGCTGTACAAGGAGCACACAGACATCCCCTGGCTATTCCTAGCTGGTGTAAATCAGAGCCCCTCCACCACTCACACATGCTGGGGATCGTCTGATCTGCAAGGAGCTGAGGAGCAGAGATCAGGTTTGGTCTTGCATGTGCAACGGCTGCCATTGACAATCAGAAAAGTGGCCGAGTGCAGCAAACAGCAAAGGCAGAAAATCTGGGGCAGTCAGTGCCCAGGATCCCCAGGAAACATGCGTGTTGGAAGCTGCTGAATTCCTGTCTTCCCGAGCGCTGGTTCTGCAGTAGCTGCTTTCAGCTACCCGGTCCCAAAGAACAGGGAGGGGGCAGGAGTGTTGCTGTGCAAAATGATAAACCAAATCCATATAATGGTGTAACAGTGAGTCAGTCTGTGGTCTTTTTGCTAAAGTATTTTTCTCCTTGTAGACGTAGTCCTCACACAAAGAGCAAGGTTTAAACAGTTGGGTTGAAAATGATCCCTTTTCAACTAAGTGAGAAGTTCGTGTCTGAACCTGACGAGAATCCCATTCACCCACACAGTAGCAGGCAAGCTTTTTTATCATAAGTACCATTTGACTTTTCAAATAAAATGTTTCTTTGCTTTTTTCTCACTGTAAAGAGTAACATTTAGACAAATATTTGATGGACAGAGTGTCCAACAAGCTTGTATAACTTGCAAAGGTGCCTACCTGTCTACTGTAAAATGAGGTTAGCATTAAAGCGCACTGTAGTTCTCATGCACTGCACATGATCTAACCCCATCTCCAATCCCAGGCTGGAGATGGCCGTGTCTGGGGGAGAGCGGAAGTACTCACCTTCCGCCCGGCCTCGTTGTTGTGCAGGTTCATGAGGGTCCTTGCATTTTGCTTAATCTCCCGGGCATCCACAAACACTTTGGCGAATCCTATTCCGTATCTGATGTCAGCAGAGCAGCCTCCCCATTTCCATCCTTCCTCTTTATGGTACTGTCCTTGTTTTTCTTTGTCACAACCACAGTCACTCAGGTTGCCCTGTGTACAGGCAGCCGTGATTGCATGTGCTACTCCAGCAGCAATGATGGCATATGTGAATGCTGCTTCTCTGCTACCTGAAATTAAAACAGTGCCGTAAATACATGATACAACATGGTGACATTAGTTAGAAAAAGATAGGCAAGTTCCTGCAGTGCAAACATCAGAAAGCTATTATTAGAAGTGCTGTAAATCTGCAGGCATAAGCAGGTCTCTACTCTTCTAAGTATTGATTTTTGTGGATGTTCACTCTCTAAAATGATAGCTCTCCATGAGGTAGTAGGAGATAAAGTATTATTTAGGCAACTTCATATATATATTTCCAGATGGTATTAGAAGTAGTCAGACTAAACTTTTTCTAGCAAAAGGGTGGGGTGGCAAATGCTCTAGCTCAAAAAGAAGGAAAGAAAAAGAAAATAGGTGGAATTGTGGGTGAAATTGCTAAAACCACCATATTCAACTTCTCAAAAAATCAGCTCAGAAACGGGATTTTATTTAGAAATTTAATTCTATGCTAAAAGGTATTTTTAGAGGAAAATAACCTCTGTTAGAAATCTTGTTCTGAAAATATTTTAACAGAATTGGAACATCTTTTTCACATTGTAGGTGTCACAAAGTTTTCAACACCGACATTTGTGCAGACTCAGTGAAATAAGTCTTGGGTTTAATTTCAAAATTTCTCACAGGGCGGAAAAAAAATCCTGACCTGTTATAGGTACCATGACAAAAGCAAGGCAAAGTAACAGCCTCACCAGAGGGCTGTAAGGAAGAGGTGAAGCCAATATTATTTTGTGCAATATGGCTATAATGACAGGCTTCTGTTTGTTTGGGGTGGGGCTCACTTTAAATCTGTGATTTAATTTATCTTCTTGAAGCTTTCTTGCATTCTGGTGTGTGGATTTCCCACGTGTGGATCCTATGAGATCTGCAAGACTTTTGGAACCAGTTCTGCTGAGAGAGGTCCTCTTCAAAACGTAAGGAGGTTTGTAGAGGTTGCCCATGTATATCAAACAGCCCTTTAAAAATTCTTGGACCTCCCAAACTAAGAACTTACTCCTACTCTTATTTCTCCAAAGACAGAATGTACCCTTGTGTCAATAGGATCAGAATCAGGCTCTTAATCAGGAGAGGGCAGATGGGAAGATCAGCTTCCCTTCTCCAAACACCCGCCAGTTAAGTGCTGGCAGACCTCAACTGCTGGCAATAGTTTATTATACATGAAACAAGCACATTTCTGCTGTTTATTGGATTTCACAAAAAAAAAAAAACTTGGGAAAGAAATCTTACAAGCACTTCATTCTCGGCTACATCCCTTTCACATATATGATCTAGATTTCTGTACTTGTCACTAAATGGTTCTTTTAATGAAAAATATTCACTTCCTTATGGCAAGGAAGTAAAACGGAAAACAAGATGACATATAATCAAAATCTGTTAATAGGCAACTTCGTGCCCTTTTATTAGCATAGGCGATTCCCATTGATACTGCTACACACTGTGTTTATTGAGGAACTTGTAGTCAAGTATCGGACTTCCTCAAAGGATTTCTTGTTTTCCCTTATTTAAAAAAAGAAAAATCGTAAAATGTTGGATTGTTATGACTGTGCACTTTGCAGATGAGGCTTTCTAGAACTAGTGGCTTTTTATGAAAATCTGAACTTGGGATAGAAATCCCAGGATTTAGGTGTATTTGGAGTTGTGCTCTCAGTACCTCTGTGCGGCCGCATGGGGTGAGCAGAGGAGGCAGGTGGAAGTGGGGACCCACTCCAGAGTGAATCCACCAGGACCAGCCAGGGGCACCTTTCTAGTTCCTCCTCCAGTTTACACTCAACAATATCCTCACTATTTTAAGTACAACACTATGAAAAATGCACTGATAAACAGGGGAAGGTACAATAAGAAGTCCCAGTTTCTCCGCTCAGAGGGGAGCAACCCATTACACCAGATTTCCGTTTCATGAAGCAGCAAATGGGACAGAAACAAAAAAATATTTTGAGTTGAAATTTGCATCTGGTTCTGTTTTTCCTTTGGCTGGATGATTTCTGATCTAGCACAAGTTGTTTTCAAGATCTAGAATAAAAAACACTGGGAGATCATTTTAATCTGACACACTCAACATTGTAAAGACTAAGCAGCTCTTTTGCTTCTTAGAGGGGAGAAAAATGCAACGTAGAGAGTATAAAACTAGCACAAGCAGAATCAGAATCCAATGTCAAGCTTGATCATAAAATATATTATACACATTACATTATTTTGTGAGTTCATCTTTTTTGGGGAAAAGTTTAGCAGCTTTTTAGAACTAAAAGTTAGCAGATTACAAGGTAAACAAAGCAAGTGTCTGGAGGAATTGATCCAGGTAGGAAGCACCTTGGCACTTGTGCAGTATTGATAAAGTGGCACAGGCTTGTCACGTCTGCATCAAACTATCCCTGTTTTCCATAAATGATTCACTTTTTAAAGCTTCATTACCCTTGTCTGGCTCATAGAAATATCAGCACACAGGGTAAGGGTAGGCTTAGTTCATTCGGAGCCTCTTCTGTGACAGTGCTTTAGATACCAAAACAGTGTAATAGGGTTTTTGTAACCAGATGGGATAACGTGAGAACATGTGTTTCCCTGCCACTTTTAAGTAACGAATACTACTGCTCTACTTCCAATTTCAGCAGACAGTTGAAATGCCTGGAGGATCTCAGAGGGAAACACTGCTTTAATAAGGTATGCTCAGACAGCTGCTCCTTGCAGGCAACAGTTTGTTTCCTCTGAGCTTCTTCTGAGGCTCTAGAGCAGGCTGACCGGCGCAGTACTGCTCCACATTCAGTCTAATCTCAAAATATGGGTAGGTTGAAAGGCACAACCTCATCACTTCTGGATTCCCAAAGATGAACAATTTGGGAAATGACCTGATACGACCCTCCTTTAGTTTCTTTCTTGTTTACTTTTCAGCCTATACTTTTTATGTGCATCTGACAGCCAACTTAGACCTGTGGCTTACTTTCCCTCTGAAAATTTAGTAGTAAAAAATCCAGGATGTTAGCATTAGAAAAAGGTCAGGCTTTGATATCAACACAATACTGAGACTTTCTCTTATTTACTTTAATCCACAGGTGATGGTGACTGTAGCATCACAAAATACTCCATAGGTGGGAACAGCACTTCTGGTTCAGGAGGACAAAGAAAGTTAGCAAAGCGGGAGATATGGTACAAAATATAGGGTAACGAAAGAACAGAACTGGCAGCAATGCATCACACTGTGAGACACAGAGCCCACTTTGGCTAATGACCAGAATAAGCAAAACACTTCTTTCCTCGCAAAAATAGATAGTCAATAGGCTGATGGTAACATCAAGGGTTTCGCTCTTCTGTATACCTGAAAGGGTATGGAAAATCCTAATCTGCAGTCATTACCTTCTCTAGATGGCTGGAAAGATCAGTCAGTGGAAGAGTGAACTGGTATGTTTTCAGCAGTGAGATCAGAAAAGACCTTTTGAAGAAAGTTTAAATAAAATGTACTCATTGGCATAAGCTACTCAAACTGTCTCTTGAACAATCTTCTGAACCATTCGCTAGAAGCATTGGGTGGAGACCCAGGAATTAACTCTTCTTGAAGTCAGTTCCCACTGGATAATGTGGTCGAAACACCAACTGGGGAATCAATAGCTAGTTGAAATCAACACGGCTAATCCTCAATAGAGGATTAACAATGTTGGATCAAAGTTTTGCAGTTCTAATTTCTGAATTAAACATTTTGTAACTTCTATCTCATTACTTCTGTATATAGAATCATAGAATCATTGAGGTTGGAAAAGACCTCTAAGATCATCGAGTCCAACCGTCAACCCAACACCACCATGCCCACTAAACCATGTCCCTAAGTGCCTCATCTACTCGTCTTTTAAATACCTCCAGGGATGGGGACTCCACCACTTCCCTGGGCAGCCTGTTCCAATGTTTCACCACTCTTTCAGTAAAGAAATTTTTCCTTACATCCAATCTAAACCTCCCCTGCCGCAACTTGAGGCCATAAACCTTAAACCATGGACCTTTAAGGCCATCCTTAAACCTCCATTAAAAATGCATTAAAATCTATGATTTTTTAAAAGAGATTTTAAAAAAAAGTAAAAATTTATTTTAAAAATTCACATAATGAACAGATCAGTTGATCTTTGTGGAGGATTGGTGCAAACTGTGATCCCAGATGCTGGGTCAATTTAAGAGGGTTTTGTGGGGGCTTTTCCAGGCAGTGACATGCAAGGGTGCACATAAAACCACTTGTGATGAGTAAACTGGCAAGAGAAAGAATGACGGCTGCCTGAGACCTACAGGAGTTGTGGGGAAAGGTGGAAAGTTGGCTATATACGTACAAGAATTGTAAGCCATCCTTTCAGCTCCCGAATGACACGTTCTTCTCATTGTCTAGAATAAGCAGAGGCTAAACACACACTAGAGCTGAACTCCAAGCATTAGAAACTTCAGAAAAGGATCTAGCAATCTTTCAAAGGTTGCTCTGGTCATTTACAAGGCCGGTGATCTAACAGGGATTTCTAACCATGGCAGCATTTCCAGGTATAACCGCTGTACTACCATAAGCGATGTTCAAGCTCAGTGCGGATGTGCTGGGGCTGGTGGGGACGGGTGAGGCACACCCTGCAGCAGTGCCACCCATCAGCACTCGGCTTGGAAGTGGGGTGTGGGCATCAATGTATGCCTGGCTCTGCTCCCCCCATTCAGACCTGGGGCTGTCCTCAGCCTAAACAAGTGCTTTAAGTGCTGTATGAACACAGAGGCTTTTCTTCATGTGTCAGACATAAATATCTCCCTGCTCTTTCTGGTTTTTTCTGGACTTAAATAAGGTATGCAGTGTGTTGCAGCTCCATTTGCTTTGATGGCAGATAGCTTGGCATCCATGGCTTCCAATATTTCTGCAGCTCCACTCTTTTGATGCAAATTGTCCTCCAAAGCACTGGAGTCCTGTCTTCAGACCCTTCACTGGGTAGCACGTGACAATCCCAAGCTGTCTTCAACTTTGTCTCTGAGCTCTGCACAGTCAACCACCACCACAGGGTGTCAGATGTCATAA